TCAGTGCCCAGGTAAGAAAGTTCACTAACAAAATACAGCTTAAATAGCATCCCTGGGGAATTTTAAAGCCGACAAAAAGAAGAGATTTGCATTGCTCAGCTTAATAGACCATAAGAACTATGGACTGAAACCAGAGACATTGTTAGGAATGAATGCCACAAGACAATTGCTGTAGCAAAGAGAAGGAAAAGGCTTAGATGCATGTCAAAAGGAATAAAGTTGCTAAGTATAGGCAAAAACACAAAAAGCAAAAAGTGAGAAAAATAGGGTGACAATCTTGGAGCAACTTTTCAGTGGCAATCATGTAGAGACAAAATGACCAGTGCAAAGAACTAAGAGAGCAACAAAGGAGGAAAAACAAGAAACCTCTTCTGGAAGATCCAAGGGTATCAAGGGGAAATTCAAACCTGGATTAGGGACGCTAAAAAACAAGGGAACACGCTGGAGAAAATAGAAGGTGGAACAATGCAGAAGAACGATACAGAAGAGATAAAATGAAAACAGACTTCTTCAAAGAGAAATCCTATGAAAAAGAGCTTGCAATATTAAAGGGGGAATGAAAGCCACTCTGAAAGCACTTTCAAAGAATAAAACACCTGGAGTAAATGGGATATCAGTAGAACTATTCCAAGCTGTAGAAAATGAATCAGTCCGAATCCTAACCGGAATATCCCACCCAATATGGAAAACAAAACAATGGCCAACAGACTGGAAACATTCAATAATTCAATATCCATTCCAATCTCAGAGAGAGAGAGAGAGAGAGAGAGAGAGAGAGAGAGAGAGAGAGAGAGAGAGAGAACGCGCGCGAGAGAGCGAGCGAGCAGCATATATAGGGCCATTGCATTAAATTTCCATACAAACAAAGTGATGCTCAAGGTGTTACAACAAAGAATACTATGGTATATGGAGCAAGAAATACCTGAAATTCAAGTTGTGGTCCAAAAAGCATGAGGAACTCTGGAGCTCATTGCAAATATAAGTTGTCTACTCGTGCATTCCAAAGACTTTCAAACAAGATCAGTCTGTGCCTTCTAGATCATGGCAAAGCCTTTGACTGTGTGGATCCTGAAAAAGCCATGGATGGTCCTGAAAAAATGAGTCTGGCTCACCACCTGATTGTCTTGCCGCAGAACCCGTATTGTGGACAAGAAGCTACCGTTAGGGCAGAACAACAGAATTATTTCCCATAGGCTAAGATGTCAAGCAAGGACGTATTTTATCTCCCTATCTGTACACAGAACACATTGTAAGGAAATCTGGATTAGAATTAGAGGAATGAAAATTGGCAGAAGAAACATCATGGATTTCAGTTATGCAGAAGATATCATACAACTAGAGAGCACATGCTAATAGGAGACCTTCAAACAAATCTCATAAAATAACGACTACTGGTAGAAAGCAGCAAGGACATGAATTACTCCTAATAAAAATGGAGGAAGGAAGCACGAAGCAGGACCACAGCTGACCTTGGAAGAGCAGAATGGAGCTGTTCATGGACGGGACATTCATGGGGTCACCATACGTCAGAGATAACTTCACATACCATGAATGAAAGCTCTCCAAAATATGGCAGCCCTGTTAATCTCTTGTCAATTTCAAGCCGTGTCTTCCTTTATGGAGTCAATCCATCTCACATTTGGTCTTTCTCTTCTTCTGCCTGTGACTTTCCGTAACGAGATTGTCTTCTCCAGGGAGTTTTGTCTTCTCATAATGTATCCAAAATACAGCAGCTTCAGCCTTGTCGCTTTTGCTCTGGCGTGGTTTGGTCTCGGACCCATTTGTTTGTCTTTCCGTCAGTACAGGCTATTCGTGAAGATTTCAAATGCATCCATTTTCTTTCCAACAGCTTCCTCCAGTGCCCAGCTTTCACACCCATGCATAGTGATTATACAAATTAGCACCCCCCAAAAGTAATCCTCGGAGAACTGCACAAATTGTGCAATGCCTATGTGCTTTCCAGGGGCTCACTTGTGTATATCTGCCATCCGGATGCAAATTGCGCTCGATCCATCTGCTTTTCCTGTGTCAGTACTTGCAAAATGCACACAATAGTGTGGTTTGCATTATCTTAACAGATCTCAATGAGGTCATAACCTCAGGAAAGAATTACATGTACTGAACACTTGTTTGAATTTAATATAAAGATTATGTTAATGAAGGAATGTTAGAAATAGTGGACAATATATGCACGGTACAGAGACTGGCATGTGTGCTTTTAATGTATACCCAGCATTTGGTCTTAAAAACCAACAGAAATCACTTGGACTAGGATGGGAAAGACCCAGGTTCAAGTTCTCGCCCAACCATGAAGCTCACTGTGGGTGATCTTGCGTCTTACCTGTAAACACTGCAAAATCAATCAAATCTTGTGGGTGTGTTAGATTTTGATGTCTACTTGTGTGCTTATTATTGTTATTTGGCTAAATTAAGATGTATGAACATTGAATGGCTAACACTTCCATGTATTTACAGTCACACCAACATAAAGCAGTTACTGTGCTCTTAAAGAATGTTTGGAATAAACCCAATTTTTGTGCATGTACATAGTGGGGGGGAGAGAGCTGCATTGCAACGGAACCATTAGTTCCCACATTTCAGGAAAGTAACATATGCATGAAGTGGCACACACTAAGTTTGTATATTTTATAACCCTGTATGTAGGTTGTTTAAATTCACTTATGTCAAAATGTTTATTGTAGATTTTTGTTCAGGAACTACACTATGAAGTTTAACAAAGTTTTAAATTGCCCCTAATATAGCCATTTTCAGGTTAATATGATGATTTCAGAATGTCTAAGTGTGTGTGTGTGTAAAGGCATGCACATATATTCAAACACCTTGCTCATCTGGAGCCATTCTTTTCAGCCTCATGTATCCCTAATTCTGGTTATACGTTTTTGTTATTTTCTCATCCAGTAAACTGAGCTAAATGAAAATTGCTCTTCTGTTATTAGATTTTAAGTAACAATTGTCCCCCTGATTCAGGAAGAGATAGAAGGGGGTATTTATTTTCTCCTAACAGCCAAAAGGTGATCATACTTCTAAAATTCGTCGAGATTGCCCAAGAAACTGTGTAAAAAACTCATCCATCATTGTGAGCCCCCGGTCAGGGAATGACAGTGCAGTAAATATCTCCAGCAGCAGCCTTTTAATGTACAAGCTGTTTTCGGTAGGGATTTTCAGCACTCACATAAAACACACTGTCATGAGTGACTGCCTGTGCTCCAAAGTCATTACTATTGGGATGATGGAACATCTTTCAGCGAATAACCAAAAAACTCTAAATGTCATGTCAAGTTTGTTGAAGCCATTTTCAAGCCTTGTTCAAGGTTACATGCATATTGAATATGCCTTTAAAAAAAAGTTTGAGATCTCTCAGAAGGTTCCCTTGGAGAAAGATAGGTAGAAGGCTAGCTTGGTTTTTAAACTGCCTCGTGCATTGTGTAAAGGCCCAATTCTAAACAGAATCTGTCCGACCTCTTAATTTATCACATTCTGCAGACAAAGAATAAGGACTGGATTATGATATTCGGCGGGACAAGTGACTACTCTGGTCTGATTTAGAACAGCAGTTCATAGTTTGATAGGCAAGATAAGGTGTACTCAGTAGGTTTTTTTACTGGTAAGTGCCCATAATGGACTTTTTAAAAAAGGAAAGTGTTTTCATTGAGTACATAGCAATAGCTACTTATTTCCAAGAGCAAAAATTTAAAATTGAAACATGAATCCTGAGCAGAGCCTCATTCCAAGATCAAGCTATTTGAACTCGGGACTGGCCTCTTTCGCAGGCGACTTGGGAAACCCGAGTAATTGGCTCATTGAAGTGGCAACAGGCTCATTATGGGAGAAAACTTGTCTTCCTGTGATGGTTATTGCCCGCACAAGTTGAAAGGGCATCCTTAAAAGGGGTTCGTATCCAGCACCACTTAATAAGATGTGCTCTGTACTAACAAAACATCAGCACCCTGGCAGTTATTAATCTTGGGAGGACAGCTACCTGTTAGGGTGAGCGTCCTAATTGTGTATACCAATGTAAGTGTTGTTCATGCTTTCCACGTAAAGCTGGCTGTCTTTCCCACTTTCAGCCTACCTTTTCTTAAAAAAAAATTGAGGGTCACCACATGTTTTCCCCACCTTATCCTCAGCATAATTCTGTGGCGTCAACATGGCAATCCCAGTTTAAATTCTTACATAGCTGGAGAACTTGCTGACTGATTTTGACTAAGCGACGCACTGTGCCCAGTAGCTTTAGTGTAGTTCAGCCTTCCATCTGGTACCCTCTAGATGTGCTGGACTACAACTGCCTGCATCCACCACCCAGCATTAGAGCTAGTTTATACATCTGTCAAGTCAGAAAGAAAAGCATATTGCCTCTTGGAAAGCCGCTTGTCTCATTTTCATGCATTAAGAAATGCAAAAACGCTCCTATGTTTTGATTTTAGGCTCAAGTATATGCTGGTGGTTTACACTGTTACATTAAAACAGGTGCTCAACATTCTGCCATCTCCTCCCGGCCAGATTCCTCCTAGATGTTCTTGGTTTCACTGTGGGTGATGTGTGTCCAGTGATTGGCAAACACACTTGCTTTGGTTTAGGAAAGGCATCATGGGATCAAAAGGACCATACAACCAATTTCTTCGTCACTCCTCAAGCCACCTTGCAAACTAGCTCCAATATGGAGGAGGCTTTCTATCTCTTGGGAACCCTAAGAAAGAATGGCTTCAAAAATTGCACTGGGGTCACCTAGTGTGGTTCTTTTGATCCTAACCCTACAGCACGCTGGCGTGCAGGTAGATGTTTTGGTTTTAAAAGAAACTGTTAATTTGCACGCTCGTTTTCCTCAGAACACATCAATCTTCGCTATTCCTGAGACTCCGTAACCACACAGTCTAGCAACTATCGTGATTCCTCAGCAGGCAGAATTGCACAGTGTTTGGTTTTCAAGAGGGATGCTAAAGTGAAAAGTAACCATGATTTGTCTGTTTTCTTCCTTACAGAAAACCAGAAAGAACCAAGAGAAAAGTTACATTTGCACCACGGTATCAATGCTGTGTCGGCAAAGAATCCAGTGAGCAGGGAGCTTAATCACGATATGGGAGTTAATTCGTCTGCAGAAAAGAAGAAAAGCGTTGGGAAGAAGGATGTCAGCAGTGGAGGAAGCAGCAGAGGGAAGGAAACGGAGTCTGCTAGCTTTGTTTCCAGGGGAGAATCAATCCCTGAAGTGGAAGCTCTGCTCGCAAGATTACGGGCACTCTGAATTCTTGCACTAGTTGAGTGAATATCAAGAGTCTATTTAGAAGGCCCAAGAAAAATATGTTCATCTTGTCAGACAGAGCTTCAGAATTTTCTGAATTATTAGAAAATTATTCTCCATCAAAAATACCGGCATATAGCAAATTAGCACATTCCTAACTTTCACAAAAAAAGCAGCCATGAGATGATGCCTTTCCACATGTAGGAAGTTTTGAAACCAACACTGATTTCCACTTGCCCTCTGAAGTGGAGCCAGTTTGGTACCGTTTACACATCTGTGAATCGGCATCATAAGTAAGACTTCCATGGCTGTTATAGAGTGTGAATCTCCACTTGCATGCACTCTTTGTGGGCACACTTTATATTCATGATTATATTTTAAAGTACCCATTAATAATGGCTTTGTGCATGAATATAGTATTGTTTGTTGTGTTACTATAATAGGGTTTTCATATTTTAGCATAGCGGGAACACAATTCAAAGATAATCAAAAGGGTTTTTCGTGAACTGACATGCTTCCTTCAACATGCGCTGTAAAGCACATACTGAAGAGCACTTTAAAACATTTTAAGCTATCTTATTTAATTTTTAAAATGCAGATCAAACTATAGTATATATATTATCGGATTGGCAGTTTGAAATTTTAAATAGGAGAATCGTGCAATACATTATTTTACACTTTATCAAATGGAATAGGTATACTGAGTCACTTGCCAGGCGGGTGCTGAAAAGCGCTGAAGATGGCAGTGTACATCCATGCATATATGACAAAATGTATATCCAACATGCTTGAACTCCGAATGTAAATACAATTTTCACATCATTTATGCATGGCACAAACTATAAATACCAAAGAAACGGAGTCACAGATGAGTGTCCCAGGGATCCTAGGATGAATTGGGAAATGGGAGTTTGGATTCAGCACTCCAGCCTCGGGAGGCGGAACCGGAAATCTGCACTGGGTCACTCATAACCAGCATGGAGAGAGACCCAGGCTTTCTGGTTAACCAGGAAGTGAGCCAGAATTAACTTTCATTAAAATCAACTCGGAGAAGAGGAAAAGTGGGTGGGAGGAGAAGAGACCAAAGAGGCTGGGAAAAGATTCATCTTCACTGGCTTTCTAACTCTCTTTGTAACAGGGAGTGTTTGTGGGTTTGATAGAGACCTTGCTTGCGATAAATATTATTGGCATATTTGCTAATTCATTTTTCAGTTGCACAGCTCTGTGGAGATGACTAATCGCTTGTAATCAATCATACGTTATTTCCATTTTAATCGTGTTGGAACATTTATCTGTTTACAGCATACCTTTCACATCATACTTGCAAGTTATGTGAACATACTTGGCAGAAATTTTCTGCAAAATGTTTTGTGGAAACACTGTTTAAAAACTTGTATCACTAGGCTTTTTTTCTAAACACATAAAAACAGAAAGCTAAAACTTTTTATATAACAGAGGATGCAACTTCTTGGTTGTTGTCTTTTTGGATTTTTTATCAGAATGTCTTAGTGCTAAATTTATTAAATTTATTAACTTTAAATTTATTAAATTTATTAACTTTGTTACAATTATTCTTTCAATGTACTTATTTACTTGTTCCTTCCCAAATATTACCTCAGGCCTTTCCAACAGTGTGAATTCCTTTAATATGGAGGATGTAGCTAGTTAGTCTGTATTATAGATTTAGGATTTCCATTTAGCTTTTCATTATATTTAGGACCAAAATATGCATCGTGAGAGAACCGGCCAGTCACTTTATTTATATACCATTTTTCCATGCAGCATGCTGAAAACAGTTCACAGCAAAGCATTGTGAAAAGTCCGTTATGAAATTGTAGCAACGTTGTTACTTATAGGAAGACATCAGAACAGTTTTGGAACAATCGCATAATGAAGCGGCAATACCAAAACAATGGACACCTCCATTATGAGAGGAGCAGAGCAAAGTGTCCCTTGATCTTGCTAGTGAGTCTGGAAGTAGAAGAGCTTTGAAGGAGAGTGGGCCAGCTGTTACTCCCGGGGAGCAGTGAGAACAGGATGCGAGTTTTCAGCCTACAGTCAGAGCTTTCTCCTCCGACGCTGGTAGAAAAATGGCAGCAGAATGAGGCCATTGGAAGCACCACCAAGGGAGGCTGGGCGAGTCCTGGATAGTAGCAGCAACAGGATGGGGCCCCTCTAGCCTGGGTGGCAAAACAGCAGGTAACTGGACTCTCCTTTGGTGATGGGCACTGAGCATACCAGGCGTGTGCAAGGATGAAGTCGGAGTCATTGGTGCTGTTGGTGGCCGTCACACGTACCTTGTCATGTCCCATATAGGCCTCAAGAGCAAAGCACCAAAGGGTGTTTGTTTTCACAGGTTTCATGCAACTTCCATAAGATTGCAGGTATTGTTTCCAAAATGATGACTGTTTATTTTATATTTTATTTAAAATTCTTGTATACCATCACTTCACAGAGACCATACCGTCTCGGGATGGTATACAACAGATTCATAAAATAGAGTAAAAATAGAAACGAGTAGCAGTTGTGCAGCATCCCATGTTAATCGGATAAAACCACCAGTTAAAACAGGTTAACAATTAAAATATTGGGAAAATAAAATAACTGTTTATTACCTTTTTATTACCTAGTAACTTCATCATCAATAGTAGTAGTTAACTTCATTAACTGCTACTATTATAGTAACTTCATAATAAGTTGCAGAACACTTCCTGATTGTATCCAGCGATATCCTTCCATCAGCACAAAGCAGCTAGTCCTTGGGGAAGACTCATTCTCGGCACTATGCTAGCCCTGAGATTCTGCTTACACAAACAGTTGTGCGCAAGATGCTTCCATAAGCGAATGGAAGGGTTTTTAATTTTACTTGGTTAAGTTTTGCTTACACTGGTTGTTCTAGGAGAGGGCTTCCTTCATATCTGAAGTTAAACATGCAGATTGCAATTTGGAACTGAGGACTGTGGTTTGGAACTGATCAAAAATGTCTCGAACCATGCCCTTATACACCGGAAAGCATTCAGGGTATGAGCCTGTGGGCAAGCAAAGGATTAGAGTACCTGTGTTGCTCCTTAAAAATTAAAAAAAGAATACTAAGATTTGAAAAGTTAAAAAAAAATCCTGGGCTTGTATCTTCAGATCGCTTCATATATTGGGTTGAAGACAGTAGTGAAAAGCACCCTGAGCAGAACTGTTTTTCTCACTTTACAGAAAAGGTCTTGTCTTGCTACCAAGAAATTGTGCTAGGAACCCAATTTCTCATAGCCCGTCCTCAACTCTGGCTGCTTCTTGTAACAGAAGATGGGAGTTGCATCTGTTTGGCCTGGGCATAAAAACGTAGGAAGCGTCCAGCTGGATCCCAAAGTGAAGGTCCCTGTAGTCCAGCATTATGTGGAGAACTAGCTGCCCTCGGGCCTGCAAGCTAAGGGCAATAGCACCTGGCTGCCCATGTTCCCCAACAACTGGTGTACACAGGCATCATCCTGCCTCTGAGTCTTAGAAACAGAAACAGCGAGTCAGAAGGGGTCTTCCAGGTCATCTAGTCTGACCCTCCACTCCAGCTAGCTCTGATCATCTCATGCCTACCATGTGCATGTCCAAGAAGAACCCATGTTCTTCTGTCAAGCAGCCCTTACTTCCCTCTGGCATTTAGCCGAAATCGTTGCCACAATTTCTTCTCTAAGAACCTTGTCCATCATCAAAGGGGGCCCTTTCCCAGGTGGTCTCCCATCCAAGCACCGACCGGACCCAGTCTTGCTTAACTTCGGCAAGGTGGCTTCAGCCTTCCCAGATGGTTCAGTTCTTGCACTTGGAGGCATGCCGCCTAGAACCCAGTATGCACCTTCACCGTCTACCCTTCTCTTTCCACCTCACAAATACGGGGACTAATATTCAAGGTCATGCCACATCAAGGTGAATCAAAAGAACATTTTTTTGTGTCTGAACTTGGGAATAAAAGAGGCTTGTTTATTTTGTGGCTATCCACACTCCATATAATAAAGTAAATGAATTTGATAGGATCCTGCCAAATGAGGAAGAGTCAATAAATTGTGCCCAACTTGTACAAGAAGAAGAGTTTGAAAATTACGTTCACAGGCACATTAGAACGAAATCTTGATTGGGATCGAAACAGCTGCTTGCTCCTCACAGGGTTTGTATGTACCCCGTCCACTTTGTTTTCCGTTGCATTTCTGTCTTGTTCTCTGTCGCATTATTAAAGCCCACTGGAGGTCTGTTGCTCAAGGGAAAGCAAGTCGAAAGACCTCCTGGACAGAGAGATGTTCGCTCCAGGTCTTAGATCCCAAATGTGCCTCACTTGCATATGCTGATTACATTTGCATAAGGATGAGATGTATTCATAAGGCCAGTATTTCCCTGGTCTTAATGTGCTTTGTCCCAGAGAGAGAAGGATCTGAGTGTGTAGGAATGCAGAGGCTAGGAAGGAGAGCTGATGAATGTGCTACTTGATTTCTCTTTAGGGACCCGAAATTGCATCTTGTGGAGAATGAAGCAACTGGAAATAAAATAGGTTCAAATGACATCTTTAAAGGTCATGAAGGAAATGATGGCAGGTGATACAAACTTGGTATGGCCACAGGTGTCTTGTGGATTGGAATGAATATACTAGACCATCTATCCTGTTGTGCTCTTTTCTGGCTTTCGAAACGAATCAAAGGATAGGTGACAAGACCCCGTGGGATCTAAACAAACCTTTAATTTTGTTCTAATGCATTTAAGAAGTGCAGGGGCATGTGACCCCCCCCCCCAGAATTAAAATTATTATTTCCATGAAATGAATGCAAGTCTAAGACAGGTAGGTAACTGAAGCCTTATTTAGACAAGTCATGATAAAACTTTCTAGGCTGCAGGTAGGATCAGGATGCGTGCCTTCCCAAGCATTCACCTGCGGTTGAGTTTCCCACTCAGTCTTGATTGGATGTATGGATAGATATACAGATATCCACAAGATTAGGTGCATGTACTTTCAGCTTCTCTTGTTTTAGATCTAGCCTATTCAGTCTCCTCTCCTTGCTCTCTCAGGGATATCCTTTCTATGCTTTTCAAGAGGAAACCCAAACTATGCTACAGCCCCTCAGATGGGACCACAGGACCCTTCCCTTACTTTGTGATG